TCTGTGAGTTCCTGGAAACTGTCGCTCTCTCCCCTCACATGATGCTCTGATGCAGCGTGGAGTCATTTACTGACCAGCTGATAAACATGTATATGTATGTGTTAAAAACAAACATTACAATATGTACAGTAGTCTGGTGGAGCACATGCACACTGCTAATCCAGACACGTTACCTTTAATATTCAATGAGTGAATTGTGATTGTGCTTTAATCTGAAAGGGGCGAATACCAGCCACTCGTCACATGTCCGGCTTGGGCTTGTTTTATTTCCACTAATCCATGTATTTAGAAAGGCTGACCTGCTCTTGACATTTCCAAAGTAGCCGGTCCTGCTCTTGTCCCTCTGGAGATCACGGTCGACGCATCCGAGACTCTTAGGCCTCCTCACAGACTGAGCCATTTTCTTTCTCTCCTCGTTAGTCTGACGCTGGCGGCGGTGTTGGCGGAGGGATGACGGGTTCAGCTGGCATCCTTCCTCCTACGTTTACTCCCCATTGCCAGTCTTTTTGGTCCTGGTCACAGCAGCTACAGGAGACAAGAAGTAGTAAAATGTGGGATGATGATTTTACAAAGAGGTGGTTAAAGTTCTACCTGCAGCCACATGACCCTATAAGGAAGTGAGCTAGATAGTTAACAGAGTAATGAAGTTAGGTTTTTCAGTTTATTCCATGTTTGTGAATGTATTTCTAATGGTATGGTGCAATGTTGCAGGAAAAACAGGGGGTACAGTTTGCATTCCTTAATAGCTCAATATTTCATAGTTCACACATTTTACTACATGATTCAGATACTGTATGCTGTGACTCAAGCATTGCAGAGCTGTAATTAAATATGACCTAACGTTATGTTGATTTCGTGCCATATGACTGCTTAAAGCTGCATCCTGGAAAGCCTAATTTCCCTTCCCAATGGGAGGTGATTAGCTTATCATCTCTGAATTAAATGCAGCAACAGGATTGGCCTAGCTTCGTCGTGCATTGCTCAAGAGCTTCTCAAATCACTCAGTCGTTTTGGTTTAAAATGATTACAATTTGCTTCCTGTCAATGCAAGGGTTGCAATCATTTCTGAAAGGGAAGTAAGCATTTTTGACGACATCACAGAAAGATCGACACAGATGCCGTTGCAGGAAAAAATATATATATATATCAGGCTACAGGAGCAGCTAAAAGGAGGCGATGAAGTGTCAGGATCATGAGATGGACTGAGCCTTACTGACCTGTGTCTATCCCAGAGACGGAGATGGGTGGCAGTCATATGAGCGCGTCTTCATATTGCAGTGTTATGATATCACTGCGGACAACGGTAACAAGTTCATTTGGCAGCTCCTCCCCTCTGCTTAAAGAGACATCGAGCTGGTGTCAAGATAGTGCCCTGAACGGTCGCCACGAAATGCGAAGGCGGAAGTACGCTACGGTGACACTTCTTGTGTTTTCAAACATCTTTACTCAGTTATTTTTGAGCATTTTTGTAAATATAAATTATTTTCTGAACTTATTGACCCATTTTTTTTTTTTTTTTACTCATTGGTCATTTAATTTTTTTTTTTTTTTCATTTGCTCACTTATTTATTGTTTTTGTCTTTTTCTCATCTAACCTCTCCACCCTTTTATATGTTTTTTTTTTGTTCTATATTGATTTTTATGAATCAACAATTTCGGAGTTAAACTGACATTTTTTTAAATATTGTATGCTAACAGAGTACTGAAGAAGATTTGAACTTTAGAAACAAAATTGCATTTGAATATATCCAAATATCCTTTTCTGTACACATGTGACTACAATTTTAAAGACGTGTATTAGTCGGGTTTTAAAATGTGTTTTTCTTTTAATCAACACTGAACAGATGTAAAGGTACACTGTTAACAACAAGAACAACTTTAAGTTCTCTTGATCTTCTTTTATCTGTTGATTGTAGATTAAACTGAATAAAGTTTGACATTATTATTGCACAAAGAGGATTGTCACCATTCTTATAACTTTGATTTACGAATATGCCTATACAATGCTGTCAATTAACCAAATAAATAAAAATTAAGAGCAAGAATATGCAGCCAAAAACGTATTATTTTCCAAAGCATTACAGTTTTCCCTTCAGAAATTGTTGCCTATTTATCATGACTTTCCTGAGTATCCTATTTTCAGTACTGCTGATATGATTGATTACATCCTACAACTTATCATTTATGTTGCCAGGAGCTGTCCTTATTGTCTGATTGTGTTATTGTTTTAGTCACGTCTGTTATTGTGGTAATGTTATATGCTCTGATGTAAGTTGTTATATTGTAAAGCCCGCTGTACAGTCTGGCAACCCTGCAGACCAAAGCAATGGTTTGTGACTCGATCAGCGTTAAACCCGCCCACTGAGTTTGATGGGAGAGGATGACAGATAAAATTATTTCATGATGCACTGCTGGAGCAGGAAACATAATTAAATAAATAGTGGAATAAATAGATGTGTTTTTACATAGAATGAATGAACATTTTAAATAATTATTTAAACATTTATTTAATTATTTATGTATTTCATAAATTATTTATTTATATATATACCTATTTTAAATAATTAATGATACATTTAAATAATTATTTAATTATTTAATAACACATGAGTTTAATTAATTAAATAATTATATATTTATTTATATATTTGTTGATTTATTTCCAATATTAAATAATTGATGACACATTTAATGATTTAATTAATTACATATTTATATATTTTGGTACTTTTACTCCTCCATAGTACAGGTTGTTTGGACCCCAGGGAAGACACAGCAATGTTGCAGCTTTATAATAAACTGTTCACCTCCAACTGTAGGGGGCGCTCCTTACCAGTACAGACAGGGGAAGGTCATGTGGCTTCAGCAGCCAATCACGTTACAGGAAAGGGAGGCACAGGATTCCGGCCTAATCAACGACAACACACAGCTCCAGTCTGAAAGACGACGAGAAGAAACTGGACGATATAACGGGTTTCCTCTCCGTCACACCGCCGTTATCGACCGTAAGTTGCACATTTTTGCAAAGTCCGTTGCAATCTCACGAAGACACTTAATACACACTTAAAAAAAACGGGAGTGTTTGTGTAGCTGTTCGGGGTCAACCGGAGGGTCGTCGCTGCTGCTAAAGCTAAACTGTGTTTCGCACACCCGTAGCTACCGGCGAGTACTGAACAAAGCAGTTTAAACTCTTCTGCTGCGGGGATATCTTTCTGGTGTTAATACAGTGTCGTTGTTTCTTAGACGCTGACGTGTAGCATAGCAACAGTAACGTTGGAAACGGTCTAAATGTCAGACGTGGTAGGCTAGCTGTGTTAGCACTGATGAGTGTAGCTCCTGCACATCATGACGTCACGGTGAGGTGATGAAGCTGCCTTGTGTGTGTCTGGTTGTTATTTATTTTTGTGGAGGATATTTTTTTTCTATTTCTTTTCCACTTCTCAGGTCTCTCTTGCAAGTAAAGATATTAATACAATTTACTTTTTCTATTTTAAAATGGTAATCTACTGGATTTAATGTACTCAATAAGATACAGTGGAGTTACATTATGGAACACGAATATTTATTTACTTTTTTTTGTCTTTTTCTAGATACAAATTGAGACTCACAAATGCGTTGGTGTCAGAAAGACTTGTAGTGAATAGTGAATTGTCCTGTTTTGCTCTATTTTTATGTTTTCAGTGTTTGTATGTCATTTTCAATTGGGCACATTTTATTTGTGATAGTAAATATTCTTACTTTGTATTTTATTTTAACTTTGTTTAATCTCTTAAGGTGAGGTTTTGAGATAAGCCTTCATGGGTTTCTACCTCACCTGCACATGTATTTTATTTATTATTTATTTTTATTCAAAAAAATGTCCAACTAAACTAAACTAGCCGTAGTCCTCCTCGGATAATCACCTTATTCGAACAAAGAAGTAAAACCTATTGAAACAAAATAGCTTTAACTCAAGAGCTTGATTCCCCCTCCATCATTTTTCTGCATATAATACTGTACAAATGTTTATTGCCTTGGTCATTTATTGTTAAAATTTCAATGTTTGTCCTGTGCAACTTGGATACCGATTTCTAGACTTTTTTTATAATTTTCTTTTTTTTTTATTTAACCTTTATTTATCCAGGAAAGTCCCATTGAGATTAAAAAACCTCTTTTCAGGGAGTCCTGGCCAAGAGGCAGCAAAAGTTACACAGTTACACTCACAGCATACAGACAGCAATTAAAATGATAAAAAACAGTTACAAGTAAATTCAAATTATCTCAAGTGCTCCAGCCTGGATTTAAAAGCGTTCAAAGAAATCAGTTCAGTTATTTTCCAGTCTTTTTGCAGGCATGTTCCATGTAGAAGGAGCAGAGTAGACGAAAGCCCTTTTTCCCAGCTCTGTGCGGGCAAGTGGAACAGACAGCAACAACTGATCATTTGAACGCAAACCGTAAGAATCAACACTTCTCCGTGTGATTAGGTTACAGATGTAGGAGGGCAGTAGCCCAAGCATGGCCTTGTAATGTTCCTGTGAGAAATAATGCCGCGTTCTCTTTCCTTTACGCTTTAAAAGATGCTCTAACAAATCCCTACTCAACATCCCAAGAGTTGGCAGTCGTTCTGACATGGCATCTGTTTACTGAGCTGGCCCGTCCTCAGCCACTGCGAGCGTCAAGCACCGGTCGTACGATTTACCAAGTGAATGAGCCTGACCCAACATCGCCATGGAAACAGAAACAGTGAGTTTTGTCCCAGGCTGTCAGTGATGTTCCATGTCTCAATTTGAAACACTTCCCTTTCCACCTCATGATTGTGGAGGAATGCAAATGATTGGCATGGTGTTAAAGTGTAAATCTTTTATGTAGAGATGTTTTAACCTATGATTCACAGGACGTTATTCCTATCTGGCAGAATAAGCCTCATGGATCCACCCGTAGTGTTGTGAGAAGAATAGGTTCAACTCTTCCTCTCAGACCTCCGCAGAGGGCATGTTTTCAGGTAAAGTGCTATAAGGCCTTCATGTTGCATTTTTTTTTTATAAATGCTACAATGACCTATTGTCACAATAGCAGTGCTTGTATTTGACATTAACTTGTGTTCTTGTGCATTAGGAATTACCAGGCCTGCCCTCTCTTCGGCCTATGGATGGCCCTATGGTTCCTACCTTGGCAGACATAGCCTGGATCGTTGCAGATGAAGAAGAGACGTACGCCAGAGTGCGGTAAGTATCCATCAAGCACTAAGAGACAGCCACTGTAATTATGGAGTGTTGCAAGGCCGCCACTTCAAATTTGCATTATTCCAGACCCCCTGGCTTTGTTCATACTGCAGGCAGATCAGATTTGTTTCTCATATCAGATCTGCTGCATGGATACCTGTTCACCACATCAGCATCAGTAACTACACAGACTGGTATGTGGCTTGTTGATACCAAAGCATGAGAAATGGAGAGCTCCCCGCCCTACAAAGAAATGTGCTGTTGTAGGTGGTTGTACTACATTGTGATGTTCCATGATTCGGCATCACAGGCTTCAATGTGCTAGAAGAGGTGTGGTGCTTTGCAAGTGACTCAAAACATGTTGTGATATCCAGTCTGAGTGTTTAAAGCGTCTGAGGTGCATCCAAAGGAATGTGATTTTAAACATTGTTTCAAACCTCTTCCAGCAATGGCCTTTATTGATTGATTAAACATTTGTCTTTTTTGCTGCCTAAACACTGTTTAATCAATCTTTGACAATCTGGACGAGAAGTCTTAATCAGGTTTTGAGATTTGGGAGTTGATTAGCTTTTCATATCTGAGACTTTATGTTATAAGAGCACATGCACAGGTTAGGGTATTCAGTTCACGGTATAACACCCTGTTTGTGTTGATATTGTATCAGAGAGGCCATCTTATAAATGTAATGATAAGTTTTATTACAGAACCATTGGATTGGACTATGCCTGTAACAAATATATGGTCATGTGATGTAGTGTTGATAATTGCTGGGGTGTTTGACGCTACATCACAAGTTGGACTCAACCCTCTAAAAGGTTTGATAAAATAACACTGATCCTCTTCTCTTGTGTTTTCAGGAGTGACAGTCGTCCCCTGAAACATGAGTGGCGGCCCACGCCTCTCCTGGTGCTCCACAGGAACTCATCTGTGCCCAACTTCCGCCGTGAGGGGAAAAGAATGGAGGGGCTCAAGAAGCCTGGGGTGACGGCGATGAACCGTACCACCGCCCTGCAGGACGAGCTCAGCAGACTGCGCGCACAGATCGCTAAAATAGTGGCAACTGATTCTGGTAGGTTATCAGAGCAGGAACTGCAGAGGAAAGAATATAAAGTGGTACAACAAT